CTATACATCATTACAACTTCCACCTCGCCGACTTACTTCCTCCTCCTCCTCCTCCTCACCTCCCCCCGCCCCCCTTCTCCCCCCCGTCAAATATTCATCGTAATGATCGTCATCGTCATTGTCATCGTCGTCGTCGTCATCATTCATCTTACTCTTGCGCCACTACTGAAAGTCCCGCGGCTTTGCACAAGCCCTCGAGGTAGACTGCATTGATACGTCTCATGTCACTTGCAAACTGAGGAAACTGAGCGAAGTTACCCGCCGATCTTGTCACGCTGGAATCTTCCTGCATCGTCTTGGTGAGGATCTCCGGATACTCGCAACGTCTCTCCTTCACCTTGTCAACGATGAAGCCTTCGGTACAAGCATTCTCCTGCGGGAGCCAACAAGAAACACTCTCAACACACAACAGGAGACGCACTTGTGCCTGCTGTGACCTTGAGCACGATGACTCCGTCCTCCTTCAATCCCTTGTTGCAGATCGTCAACATCGCAGCAAGAAGCAGCAGCAAGAGAGCAATGCACCCGCTTGCATCGCATCATGAAGGCAACGAAGTCCTCATCTTCAAATCTCTTCACTTCAACAGTTCACTCGTGAAGATGGCAAGTACCCGTAAGGTGTCCAATCACCCACTGGATCCAGATCACATCGTACAATCCTAGCAAACTCAGTCGATAACTTGCAAGTGAGTTCAGATCGAGATGGAGAAATATCACGAAACATGATTGCGCGCCTTGTCGCTTTCCCTCAGAATGCTACACATGACGGAGGCTTTTACCTTGCTGAGGAACCCAGTCCTGGAGGCCGATCTGAATGTAATTTCCATCATTGAAGCCTGCAAACCCATCACACATCGGCAACAACGCATGCTCTGTTCCTCACCAGAGAGTTCTTTCTCGGCTGTTTGCAAGAAATGAGCCACCTGGACATGTCAAGATCACAACTTGACATGTAGATGTGATTCGATATCACAGGCTCAACGAGGTCCACGGCCTTGAAGTGATTGCACAGAAATCCCTTGCTGATCCGCCCGATCCCTGCCCCTACACTCTCCTTTCACTCTCCCTTGCCGTCCTCTACCTCAGAGCTCTGACAGACCGCAGTCAGCCGCTCTCCCGGGCTCTGTCAGCTTCAAGTGCCCCTACAGACATCCGTCAGGTCGACGAGGAAGCAGCTCCGTCGCTCTCGCCACCTCTCTGAGCAGAGTCTGGTAGAAGAGCTCCGACTCTTCAAGGTCCACGTCCGTCACCTGCCGCATCGTCATCCTCCTCCTCGCATCTCCAGCTGACGCGCTGACGTGCCCAAACCCTCCCAGCACGCCGTCGACGCTGGCCGGCACATCCTCCCAGTACTTGATCCCTTTCCCTGAGAACAGAGAGGTCAGAGAGTTCTGGCCGTCTTGTCAGGACGATGCGGGGGACGCAGACACGTTCTGAAGCGAGCATCTCAACTTACCATACCATCCTTTCTCGCTAGTCGGATCCGCCCGATCGAGCTCATTTTTCCACCTGGACGGCATGGAGGTGAACATGAACATGTTGATGGTCGGCGGTGGCGGACATTTCATCTCGTGAGTAGTAAGTGTTGCCCATGGAGTCCTTTGCAACAGTCAGCAACTTCAAGGTTGACTCTGTCTCCCACCGTGCCCCCTTCGACACCATCGATGAAAATCTTGCCTTTTCCCATGTTGTTGCCTGCACACATCGATGGGTACAAGTCATATCATGTGAACCAGATGGGATGATGTCGATATCAGATCGTGCAATCTCACTCGAAAAGCAAATTGACTCTCCAAGCACTTGTTGATTCTGAGAGTAATCCTTTACACAGGGGGCGCTACAGTGATGGATGTACCTGGAGCAGACAGAACAATACAACGAAGTAGAAAGCTCCAAGTGCCAAGGCTGATATCTTGTTGTGTATGTCTGTGCTGATCAAGCAAGTTAACGTAGGTAGTCCAACTTATCCCACAGCTCTTCCTGCACTTCCTCTGCACTACCGGAGCTTCGCATGCTTCTCTCATCAGCTCTCTTGCTGCCTGCATCCCTCTCATCAACCCTCCTCGCACGGCTGCATCGCTGCATGGCTGCATCGCTACACGTGCGCTATCGATCTGCATTTCATTCCCGCCATCCCTCATCCCCGCACAGACTGGCAGAAATTGTCGGGACACTTTTTATTACTTTACTCAAAGTTAAGTTAAAAATCAGTACGAGGACAATCAGGAGAGTAGACTCGGGGGCTGCAGGCCGGGAGCATCCAGACGGTTGGACGCCCTCGGGGCTCACTGAGTACTGAGTGAGGCTCGCCGGGCCTGATTCAGCCGAGGCCCCGCCCGCCGCTAACTAGCCGAGGCTGAGGCTCGGATGATCGGATTGGACAAGGCGGTCGGACAATATTCGGATCCCGGGCCATCCAAATGGTTGACAAACTTGTACTAGTATGCAGGAAAATTCACATCCAAGTTGTCGAGAAATGACGTTTGGCACTGAGATCAATCTGACTGGGTTGCTAATTATGAATCGAATAACAATAGCGTCAACGAGCTGAGTCATTGGCGCTGCGGTGAATCCACTCGAAGCGATCCTGTATGAGAGTCACAGCAAGCGCAAGAGAGGGTCAGATGAGCCTCCATGCTCTCGCACCGCAACAGCTTGCTTCCCACGCGTATGAATCAAATCAACGAGGAACTTGTCTGTCGGTTTTTCGCCTTCAAACAGAACATCTCGTACTGAAGACGCATCAGAGTCGCAGAGACACGCAAGTTCTGCTCAGACCTGTCTCATTCTCCTCTATGAGATACTGAGAACACGTCAGCGATCAAACATGTGCATCGCACGCTTACCATGTCCTCTGCGAAGGACCATTGGGTCCGGAGAAGCTCGTCACTTAGTTCACCCTTGAGGTACTGCACTGCAACAAAGCGTCACGCCCATCGGTAAATTCGCGAGAGTTGTAGAATGTCAAGTACCTGCCAACTCCATCTTCCCGTTGAAAATGATTCCTGCGTGAATAACCTGTTGAGCAGTGAATCAACTGGACCCACAACTCCCAACGTTTTCAACCGCATGCTTGCTGCGTTTGGTTTCCCTCATAATATCTTCAACTTGTCTTCAGACCAAAAGGTCAATCATTCATACAGGTACAGAAATTTGCTTCCATACTTCATAGACTCGGTTTGTCTGGTTTGCTTCGCGACAAGTGTTTGACCAATTGTCTATTGCAGACAGTTCTCAATTGGTTGCTTTACAAACAAAAGTACTCACCTTCTCTTCCTCATTCGCAGAATGCTCGTCAATGGTCTCCTCCTGCTGTTCGGATGTCGCCTAGAGCTTCAGGTAAGTCGAAAAGTAAAAGCACAACCTGAATCACATATTTCGGGGATGGTACTTTGGTGAGATTCCTATTTCTCAGATCCTGATACTCGGCCTGCAGTATTCAGTCACACCAATCGTATTCTGAATCTGGTATAAGTCTCCAAACTCACATGCAGCTCCTTTCTAAAATGCTCACGCATCGATTGCCAAGATCGGGACGTAATCTATTTTCAGGTCACAAACCACTGCATTTGCAAGCACAACAACCTTGGCATTCTCTGCTTCTTGCCAGAGTTTGTTTCCTTGCATCCGTAGGTTTCCTTCCTAGATGATCAGATCAGACACGCTTGCACCGATGTCGCGATAAGAAGCACACCTGACCCAAGAGGAAATTAAGGATTTGGATGTCTTCTGCCCTTGAATACTTTGCTCGACTTTGGAAGGTATGTCAGCTCTTGATACTTGCACAATTCGGGAGTTTACCTCATCTTCCTGAATGAATGCGCGAGTGTAACTCGTTTCCTGCCTCAGAGTCTTGTCAATGTCATGACTAACAAGGGGACCAAAACTTTCAGCACGCACAGCAGACGATTCATCTATCTTCTATGTGCATGTGAGCAAGCTGATGCTATGATGACGATGATGCAGCTTGATGTGTAGCAACAGACATAGCATTGCCGCATCGTCAGCCATCAAGGGATATAATCCCTGACACTCCCCCTCCCTCCCTCCCCATGGCGCGCTTGCAAATTTCGAACTCGACCACGAACTTGAACTTTGACCTATCAAACTTCGAAACCTCGGAACCTCCGGCCCTCTGAAGTTTGAGATGTGAAAGTTTCAAACTTTGAGCGAAATCGACGAGTCTCCTATGGAGGCGCTACCGCAGCGGCAAAAGTTCCGCAACCGCAGCAGCACCAAAGGACGCATGGACTCCTCCTCCTCCTCCTCCTCCTCCTCTGAGCCCCTCACCAGCACCAGCACCAGCACCAGCACCAGCACCAGCACCAGCACCAGCACCAGCACGTCCTCTTTGATCGCATCACTGTTACCGCCATCGACCTCTACCTTCATACCGTCAGACCATGCTTCCAACCCCAGCTTCAATCCAAACTTACCAACTTCTGCTTCTCGTTCTACCTTGACATCTCATCGACTGCCTCGGGACGATGGCCACTCGGAAGAGGCTTCCAACCGTGAATGTTTTGACGACAACTTGAAATCCCAAGAATTGTGTTCCGAATACAGCAATCTCTGTCATGGACACTCTAGTGCACCGATCGAGATCAGAACTTCGAGGTCGAGCCGACCGGGTTTACAAGACGACATGACACAGAGCGAATCAGAGCGACAAGACTTTTATTCACGATGCACTCATTTCGTGTCCATCCCTGTGGACAATGTGTCCATCCTCCAGAGAGTTTCGAATGTACAAAACTCCATCGTTGACAAACAGCCACACCTGCTCCCCGGTGACATTGATATGACCTGAAAAGATGCTAGATTGACATATTCTCAATGCCAGCCTTGATTGACACAAGACAACTGCACATGACATTGGTTGCAGTCTCGATTGAAAAATCGTTCGAGAATGAAATCTTTTCTGCTTTTCTTGGTGAGTTTTTGGGTTTGTGTGTAGACTTTTGACTCAGTATGTGCGTAGAAGAGATGGGTACACAAGCCAAGAAGTACTTTGCACAGTCTCCCCTGCTCACACTTTCCGGTAAACAACATAATAAGGGTTTGACGTGCCCATTTTGAATTTCGATTCGCAGGAATCGGTCATTTCGACGAGCGGGTGATGTGAGTTGCATGTACATTGTAACATGCATGTTTCCGACACACACATTGCGAATGGATGTGATCATGGTTTGCTGCAGATACCTCAAACCCGAGAAAGGAGATCTGCTGGATCGTTTGTATGACTTTGCTCTCGACCTGAAAGCATTCTTTTCGAGATTTCCTGGTGAATGGCTCAATATTCAATCAATTGCCTTCTCAAGTGATTCTCCATAGGGTCCTCTGTTGAAGATATGGTGTTCCGACCGCACGTCACGATCTTAAAACTCTCGAAACTTCCTGAAGGCTCGAAGAAACTGATCAAGAACGTGAGCAAGGACGTGTGGTTCGAGCACAGGTAGAAGCCTATCTTGCTACCTTATATGCATGCATGAGGTACATGGAATGACTGTGAGATGTAGAGACATCAAGTGTGGAACTCAAAGGATTTCTCGAGTGGAACTGAATGCAATGCGCATTGATAGGACTACAGGGAGATATTATTGCGAGAGATGGTGATTGTTTTTGAACCAGTGTACAATATTCTCTTACTTTACATCAGTATGTCCACATCAAGCAACAAGGCAATGGCGCCAGCGCCAGTGACCAGCATGGAAAGGGGCGATGTTGTTGGTATGAATCATGAAACAACAGAAGTCCTCATAGGGGACAAGGGCGTCACCGCCGACAGGAAGGGGAAGCGGAGAGGGCGCTTGCAGCAGAACTACATGCCTCCTAGCTAGAGCACTAGCGGGGGATAAACCTGCAGATAAACTTAGAGGAGCAGCGTCGCCTTCCCGCCATGCTTGTTGCCCTCAAAGGTACCCGATCTTTGCCTGCACGGATACCTCCTCCCACCCCCATGTTCCCCTTCAAAGAAGGGGGTGGGGTGATGATATTTGCCTGTCAGTTGACTTTGAGGGGTGTTGGTCCCTGGCTAGGGTATGAGGATGAGGTGGGATGGGGTGGGTGGGTGGAACGGAATTTCCCATCACGGGTACTGATAATCAGTACGAATTCTGTAGAGTAAGGTACGGGTCATTGACGGGGTACGGGTCATGGTTGCACGGGTGTGTGATATGGCACATAGGTGGGGTCCCAAAAAATCAACCATGCAAGGCCTGTTGGCAGAGCATGCGGAAAGGGAAGGCGGGAGGGAGACGGAAGGAGGGAGAGGGGGAGACGAAGGAGAAGAAAGGACTTGATACAGACCACGAGAGGACAAGAGAACTGACACATCATACCTGGTGCATTTTCATTCAGAGGATGATCAGTGAGGAGCAATAGGTCAGCTTAAGGAGAAGCCAGTAGCGCAGAGCTGGAGGGTAGAAGGAACTCGCGAGGCCGCAGGAGAGCATGCCTTAGTCTTTTGCTTGCTGACATGAATCTGATGCAGTGACTCTCCTCGAAGAAAACCTTCAAAATGGGCTGTGGTTCAAGCACAAATAAGAATGACATCATTCAACCGATGACGAGCACGCCTGTCAAACAAGTCAAACCCGTCAGTGTTGACCAATCCTTGGGCAAGCCCATCAGCAGCCCACAGGCAGTTGCCACTCCAAATACTGAAGCTGCAGAACCCATCAAACCGCCGAGCGAAGCTCCCAAGGCCGTGAAAGTCGAAAAGGAGTCGCAGAACTCTCCTGCAGAACCCACTCCCTCCGAGAGCAAGAAGCAGAGTTCAAGCATCATCGGGGAGGATGACAAGCTCGTCGAAGATTCGTGGAAAGATTGCGAAAACAATGTATCTCGTTTTTATCTGCCCGCTCGCTCCTCTAGGTTGCTCATACTCCTGCGTCAGTTACAGGAGTATATCGACAAGTTCGTTCTAAGAATAGTCGCGTCCAACTCAAGATCACGAGGCATCTTCACTGTTGACGGTAACAACTTTTGATTCAAGTTGTGTTCATTGTTTTCAACTTACAAACCTCGTGGTGTATGCAGAAGAAAGCAGAGTAGAGGAATCCAGCAAAGCAAAGGCTACCGAGCTCTTCGCAGCGGTGAGCATGCTATGTTCTGACCGCTCATGCATTGAACTCTTATGCCAGGTTGGCCGATCCATCGCAGGGCTACAGGACTGCGAGAAGTGTGTTGAGATCCTCAAAGTGAGCTTCCTGTGCTGCTGCCTGTCGGCTGACTCCTTTTGGGGAACCACAGGAATACAAGTTCGGCGTCAAGCCAGAACAATTCTTGGAGATAGCCGACATTGTTTCAGCTGTTGTATGTGAGAACGGCAATGATTCCTTGAAGTCTGCATGGAGAATCTCAGTGTACAAGACAGTCCAGGTGAAACAATCTCGCTCTCTTCATCACTAGTAACCATGTTCTCGAAACAGAAACTCGAAGATCGCCTGAGACAGGAATATGAAGGTCTTTCACGGGACCCTTCGGCTGTCGAGCCGGAGTGGAACCAGAAGCCGGTTAGGCTTCCTCTACGTAAGATCCGTTGCCTTGCACCTCCTTGCTGATTCGAATGTGCTTCAGAGACTACGATGCAATTCGGGACTCCCAGCACCCTCAACAGTCAGATCAGGCCAATGGACAGCAACAGCAAGTTTCAAGCATTCTGAGACATGCTCATTCATGCTGTGCATCGTCTTGGATTTCATTCAAATCCATATGGCAAGTTTCAAGTTTGCACAGCATGATAACGGAACAGGAGCCTCGGGACAGATCCGATGCCGCGGGGTCGGGCGTGTCAGCAGGCAACGGTTACCGGAGAGAGAGCAGCCGGTGGCAAGGTCGCGGAGGCCGGGCGGAGAGGACGTGACAGCTCAGTGTGCGGGCCCGCCGAACGGTAACCAGCGGCTGCTCAATTGGCACGAGCCACACTGCCGCAGCTCCGACAGCTCCGAGTCGCTGGGTCCGCCGATGATCCAAGACTCTCAGTCCCGGAGTCCGATCTTGAATCGGCGAACTTGGAAACCGCCGCCGCAGCCCGGCAGCGCGCCGGGAGGCTCATGTTCGGAGCCTGCAGGCTGGCGCGGGCTCGGATGACGGTCACAGTGCTCAGCGCCGGGCGGCCGCAAGAGCGATCAGATAACACGGTCCGCTGACGGTATGCGCCGTTCCGCCGCCGACCCGAGTCCGATCATCCGATCGCCGCTGATGCCCGCCGGGCATCACTGACGTCGGAGCCTCCGAGCGCGGCCAGTGGTACCGCACCGGGTCCGATCGGACTCCCCGCCGGACTGGGAGGGCTCCGAGTCCGGGCCGATGAAGTCAATAAACTTGAAAGTTAGCCGTAGTTCGGACTAAGTCAGTTCAACGGTCACCGGGTTCAACGGTTAGTTCCGCCGCCCGGCCGGCACTGGGCATACCGTACCTAATAGGGCCGCCTAGTACCGTACGGTCGTACGGCCGGGCGTGGCCGCGGCGCCGGCGCAATCGGGGAGTCACGGCGGCAGGCGGGCGCCGACCGTGCGGCCGAACCAGCACTGGCATGCCCGGCCAGTCACTGAGTCATGATCCGAATGGGCCCCGGGGGCCGATCGGCCGGGGCTACGGCACTGCCGCATGAGCAATGATAGCGACGGTCGATCACCTAGTACCACTGAGATGTCATGGTCACACGCCCCGCCCGTCCGTTACGGCCAGTAAACTTGGCAAGGCTACCGTCGCAAAACTTGAAACTCCGAGCCGTCCCGACGGGGATAAAACCTTGCCAAGGAAGGTACACCCCGTTTGAGAGAAAGAGACAAAAGGAACTAAGGTGGGGTCTATGCAGGGAGAAATAAGGGGTCACCGGGTGGTTTCCAATGCCAGATAGCAGCACCGTGTCCCCTCTGCTAGCATCATTGATGACGATGCGATGCGGTTCGCAGCACGTGTGTGACATGCGTGTAGTCAAAAGGTCGGGGTTAAGAGAGTTGCTGACCCTCTAGAAGTCTCAACGAATTCCAAAAAGAGTGTTTTGAATCCATTGCATGTCCAAGATGCCTCAAATCTGAGGATCACACTGCTTGGGAAGAAGACGTCTGTCAGCAGACTTGTCTCGAGGGTGGGGTGGGTAGCTCTATAACGATAACCCCATGTTTTAAGGGTTTTCTTGAGTCAAAAGGAGGGGTAAGCGAAATGTTCTTTCCTAGGCTGAGGTTAATAATATCTGATGTAACTGCGACGAAGGGGATCGTAGAAGAGAAGAGAACGAGGAGGAGAGGCGGGAAGTAAAGTTTACAGTGTAAGAAAATACACGACAGGAGCACACGATTCTATGATGGGAGATGAGCATAACGAGGGGAAAATGGGGCTTTTGTGTGGTGCACTGAGAAGCTTTAGGACGAATCAACTGTTCCTTATTGTTCGATTTCTGTTCAATGATTTTCTCTCTTCCATGCAGGCTCGGATTTGCAAAGGACGTACCAAGACCAAGCTTCGATCATGCAGAACTCTGTCCAGATCTATCCCAGAAGGAAGCAAGGAGAATCTGGAAAAGCTGGGGCTGTTTTCCTCACGCAAACAGACATACAAAACTTGTATCATCTTCGCCTGGAAGACGCGGCAAAACACGTGGTAAATTTGACGTATGCGCATCATTTCTCAATCTCACAAACGAACAGGGAATTTCTCTTACTGCATTTCGAAATGCTTGCAGAAGGCTCGGCGTTGTGAAGTGGCCCTATTCTCGACACCGAGAAAATCTCAACGAGGAGAGCGCTAACGACGATGAGTTGATAGGTGACGAGACATTTGTTCTCACATGGACACTAACATCTCGACACAAGTTGATCAGCCTATCATGTCACCACACTCCCATGCTCCATCCTGGTCTGCATCGCCCTTTGCTGATTCAATGCCTCGAGATTCATCGATCCGATCTGATACCTTCCCGCACATGCTTCATTCGTCTCCCTCCTCCTCTGATTCCACGGCGCTTCCATCCTCCTTCTCGTCTTCTTTCACCCCACTCATCGCAAACAACGCACCAGCAGCAAGCTCCTCCTTCACATATCTCCATCTGGGATCGGAAGCGAGGGGTAGAGGGGATGGGGAACCCATGCAGGGGCTTGATGGCCCATCGAAGACGGAGGAGCCAGACGGGGGAAGGAAGGGAGAGGAGATGTTCTCTCAGGCAGACGAGGTGGTGCCCCTATGCTCTAGCTTCATCGAGTGGTACGTGCGAACCGGCGAGAGCGACGACGTGTAATGTTATCGGGAGATGATATGGGCTCGGACTGCTGTGATGGGAAGGGAGAGCAGTCGACGGCTGCGTGACGAATTGAGTTTCCAACTTGTGGGGATTGAGGGGATCTTGAGGCCATCGTGTGGGAAGAGAGACGCCTGTGAACGTGTCGCCGTTAGCCTCGTTTCACTTGAGCACATCTTAACTTAGAAATAAACTTGTGGAATAGAATTGAGACATCTGGGCCCTTGCGCACTGCTGAGGAGAGGAGGAGCGAACAGAGCTTGTCTTACTGTACACGTTCTTGACTTTTGCCAGCCCACATCTTGACGACGGTCAGCGCTGACAGAGCTCAAGAAAGCAGAAAGAGTCGTCATCGGGTGCCAGCCCTGGGGTTTCGAGTCAATGAGCACATGTCCCAGGCACTTTCCCCTCACCGTCACTTGTAATGAGAGAGAAGATGCGATGGGCGGCTTCAAGGTCTCTGACGACAAGGAGAGAAGTGAGCGAGGGGAGCAACAGGCAGTCTCTCACCCTCTCCGAGCAAACCCCCGTATCACCGCATTGTAACATGTCAAGTCGGCAGGAGGGATCCGCGTTCGGGTACCGCTCGCTGTCTGCACGTGGAGGAGCTTGCCGTTACTGCGCATGCTCTCTGCCGAACCTCGCATGCGGTTGAAGAGACTCAGAGCTTCCTCGTCGCAGTCGGAGGAGATGAGAGCCTCTAGCACATTCAGCCATCCTTCTAGCGGAATTTCCATCTCCTTCCTGATGGGAGTCAAGTTTACGCTGATAGGAGTGCAGTAGAGGAGGGAGAGGCAGTGCTGAAAGGCAGTGGTGGGAGAGGTACCTGAGGCAAGAAGTCTGAAGTCGGATAAAGACGTCATGCACCCTCTCCATGGACCGACAACGTTGACAAGCTTTCATCAATTGCATGCACGTCCTGTCAGTGAAAAAGCTACTGTCAGCGTTCTCCTGCACTCTTCCCGCACTCTCCTCGCTCACTTCCTACCCATCCTTCCTCTCCTCTCCTCTCCTCTCCCCTCCTCTCCCCTCGCCTCCTCTCGCCTCCTCTCCTCGCCACTCACTGTGGTGAAGGAATCGCCTTCTCCGCGTCCATCAGCCTCAGCGCTTGATCAACTCGCTAAGACGCGGCAAGTGAGCAGAGAGATCGAGCTGCAGTCAGCCGTCACCTCGAAGCTCAACCCTCCTCCGTCGCTCCTCTGGATCGCAACTGACATGGCTCGCACTGCAAGAGCAGGATCAGTGAGCGAGGCTGTAGGGTAAGAACAAAGGTGAAGAACGATGTGGCGTGTAGTGAAGGAGAGTAGGAAGGATTGAGCAGAAGCAGGAGCAGGAGTATGAGGAAGTAGGAAGGAGGGGAGGAGCCACGTCGGCAACCAAGTAGCGATAGGATCGCACCCAAGGCATCGAGCGACGTCACATCCAGCGGGACTGCTAGCTGCTGCATGCGGACAAAAGTCTGGATGGCATCCTTGACCCTGCCTCGCTGTGCTGAGAGGTAGATGTAGGAGTTGTAGCTCTTGGTGAAGTGCTGGAGACTTTGTCTGTCGCGCTGCTCGAAGCTCTCCCGGAAGTTTGCTTCGAGGAAGGACAGGACCCTCCCCGGCATCTGGTCATAGAGGACTTCCTCCTTGAGCTCCCACAGGACCTCCCGGGTGAGCATGTGGTAGTAGTAGTGCCTGCCTTTCCTGTCCTTGGCGCTCCTCCAAAAGAGCGAGGACCAGCGATACGCTTCCTGGCTCGGCTAGTGAATGCGAGAGAGGCAATGAGAGCAGAGGAGGGGAGTATGGACGTAGGTTGAGCAAGGAAGGATATGACGAGATAGAGGAAGTCCGGAGGGCAGGAAGACGAGGGAGGGGAAGGAGGGGAGGAGCAAGGAGATACCACGAGACACTCCAGCATGAAAGGAGTGACGAGCTCTTGAGCTTCATACGAGCGATCGAGCTCCTCCTTCACCCTCGAGGGAATCCCCGTCATGCTGAACACGCACAGCATGGCGTTTCTGATGTCTTTGTCCACGAGGTTTCTGCGTCATCATCACTTCCTCAATGCTCTTCCCCCTGCCTCCCCCGCCACCTCCGCGTCCCCCCCCATCCCCCGCCTCCTCGTACCTCTCCTGTGCTTCAGCAAACAGACTTTCAGCAAGGCGAATGTCTCGGAGGCGCGCACAGGCGAGGAGCATGGAGCTGTAGAGAGAGGGGTCGAGGCTGTCGCGAGGGGACAAGGTCCGGATCTGCTTCAGGCAGCTCTGAGCCTCCTCTATGTGATCCAACTGAGAGTGGAGGAGGAGGAGAGCTTTGACGGCTGAGACGGGAGGAACTTTCCCCTCCTGCTCGCATCGATCGATCATGTCCCTGGTGATGCCAAGCCTCGTCTTGAGGTCGCGGATCCTGAAGTTGGTGTGTCTCATTCCAACGGCAGTTACAAGTGAGCCTCACCGTTCCAACTCTTGTATCTCTATCACATCTTCACACAGAACGACTGCTGTCGCTCCCTTTGCTCTCTCCTTCTTCTCCTCCTCCAGCCCATCTGCTGTGCTCGCATGCCTTCCACCCAAACCTCGCAGTTCACCATCCTTCGTCCTCTCCTCAACTGAACGGACCACAGGCGGCTGCTGCTCCAGTCCTCGAGACTGCCAGAGGAATCAGGTGCAGCAAGAGGTGAAGGAGGACTAGCAGGAGACCTGCCGGACGAGCGAAGCGTCATCGGCGAGCTCGTTGAGCGTGAGCTTCTCGGAGATCCGAGCGACGAGGGAGGAGAAGAAGGACTTGGAGACTGAGGGCTTCACGCGGGCAAGCACGCGATCAATCTCTGCTATGCTGCTCGATGGGCCCAAAGTCAGACAGGAGGAGGAGAGAGGAGTCCCGGCAGCAAGCACCTGGAAGCGCTCGAAATCATCACGTCGATATGCTTCTCGTTCACAGCTCCCGAGGCGCACAACCCTTCGAAGAGAGCACATGCTCGAGCTCGATCTGCTCCTCGCAGCCTCTCCAACAAGTTCGGAGGCATCGCATCCTCCCCTCCCTTTCCCCTCACTGGGACCGTCGGGGCCTCCACCTTTAGTGGCCCCTCAGTCTCCTGGGTGACTCCCCTGACCTTCTCCTTGGCCCTCGCGCGCTGAGATTCTGCGGCACTTCATCATCATCCCGCCATGTCCAAGGAAGCAGATAGCTCAGAGGAGACACAGCAAGACTGAGAGAGGCAGGAGGGACACACGCCAGCATCACAGCATGCGATTGCGCGAACCAGGAGCAGCGGCAGGAGCAGCGGCAGGAGCAGCGGCAGGAGTAGCAGGAGCAGCAGGAGGAGGCTGCCACTGCACGCCTCCATCAGGGCGGGAGTAATAGGATCTCTTGCGAGGAGTCTTGGTGACGTGTTGGGCCCATCCTGGAGGTAGGATCGGCTGCATGGCGGTGAGAACCCTCTGCGCTCCAAACGGTTCCCACACCTTCTTGTTCTCCTTGCCCGGCACTAGCGCTGGTTTGACTGCAACTTCACCTGCTGGAGCAGCTCCAGGGGGGTAGAGAGGAGACTGGGGAGGGGGAGGAGTCAAGACTGCCGTCATGCTGAAGATGGTCTCGCACCTCGACAAGTTGTTGGCTGAGAGCTTTAGAAGGTAACTTGAGATCTCTCTCGTCCTCTGGTTGCCCCGTCACTTGCAAGGATCGCGTCATACCAGGGCCCAGTCACCTTCTTGACAGCTGATCGTCGACCTGCTTCTGTGGGCGGGAAACAAACTCAGTTCGACGGTGTCTGCATGCCAGCTGGAGATCCGACGATACCTGTCGGCTCGAAAGTCGTCGTCGTTGCTCTTGAAGAGGTCGCGCTTCAGCTTCGCTCCTACGGACCTGCAGGTGCGCATGAGCAAGAGTACACGCCCGAGTCAGCTCAGAGTTTCCTCCTCTCCCTTCTCATCTCGTCGAACATCTCGTACGTCGTGAGGTCTGGAACAAAAATGAGCGTCAAGCACAGAGGGAGGAGAGGGTTCTCGGGCGAGCACACAGATAGCAGGTGACGGGGGCTTCTCACCTGGTCTGCTGCTTGTCAGGCTGCCAACCAACATGCTTGTCTCCATCATCGTCATCAGCAGCACCAACACTAGCCCCGACCTCCATGGTCTCATCGATCTCAGGGCAGCGCAATAAACTGAGCCCGCCCAGCCGGACCGCCCCCGGCCCGGCCCGGCCCGGCAATGCCGGGGGCCGGCCGCTGCCCGCCCGGGCTGGCCGCAGCCACTGAGGTTGTACCCCGGGCCCGGGGAAGATTCGGGAGGACCGGGATACTGTTACTGAGGGTGTGAAGGGGACCTAAAGCCTTGAAGCGACAAGGTGAAAATCTAGAGGCCTCGAACTTGAAGCCGTTTGAAAGTCATCACTCACCGAGTACGTGGTACTGAAAAGTGTAGGTACGTCCGGATACGTACCGGGGTCATGGGGGCTCGGGGGAGGGGTGGAAGGAAGTCATTATGGGCGGGATGTGATGGCCGTGAGCCAAGAGCCGCGACCTTGCAACCTTTGCAGGAAAAAAGAATTGGTCTAACAACTGTGCTACTATGCTCTTGTAAAGTGTCCCACCCAGCTTTGTTCTGCTGCCAACCAACGATCGTCTGCGTGACACCCAGGCTGGACAAAGAGATCGCAAGCTCCTCGGTTCACTGATCTACTTCATCTCTCTCGCGTCCTCCTATCGTAGCTGCTGATCGCCATGACGACCCTCACAGTGCTAGACCTGCAGAAGAAGGTGGAATTGCTTACATCGCAACTGCAAACGATGGAGGCAAATTACAATGAAACCAAGACAAGCATAGAAAACAATTCAAGAGATTTAGACATTGCATGGCTACTCTTATGCGGTATGGATTATGTTGCTGGCTCTCCTGCAAACTGACTATTGATGCAGGAAGTTTGGTATTCTTTATGCAGGCAGGTTTCGCTATGCTCGAAGCCGGTGTCGTGAATTCTCGGAATGTGATTAATATCTTGTACAAGAACATCATGGACGCATCCATTGGATGCGTCTGCTTTTGGCTGGTTGGGTACGGCTTCGCCTACGGGACTACGGCGGGAGGTTTCATCGGCACTGACAACTTTGCCATATCATCCATCTACAACGGAGCAGGAGAGGGCGGCTCCGATGGATGGGAGGGCTTCTTCTTCCAGTTTGCATTTGCTGGCACAGCTGCAACCATCGTGTCTGGATCGGTAGCGGAGAGATTCAAGTTCGAGGCCTACCTGGTGTACTCCGGAGTTTGCACGGCCTTCATCTACCCGGTCATCGTCCACTGGGTGTGGGGGTCTGGGTTCTTGTCGGCCTGGGGGGCGAGGCCAGACGCCGACGGCAACGCGCGTCCTCTGCTGTCAGGAACTTCGACCTCTAATGGGGTGATCGACTTCGCGGGGTCGGGAGTTGTGCACTTGGTCGGCGGCGTGTCGGGCCTGATGGGTGCGATCCTCGTCGGTCCTCGCAAAGGGCGCTTTGATAGCGACGGGAAGCCGAAAGCGCAACGTCCTCACAACACGACTCTGATGGCGCTGGGAACCACCATCCTCTGGTTCGGTTGGTATGGCTTCAACTGCGGGTCGACTCTCGCCCTCTCCGGAGGAGCCGCAAACGTCGCTGGCAAAGTCGCTGTCACCACAACCATCTCAGCTGCTGCTGGTTGTCTGATGGCCACCATCATCTCGCGCTTCTTGGAGGGGACGTTTGACATCGGGCTGGCGCTGAATGGAATCCTAGCAGCCCTTGTGGGCATCACTGCCAACTGCTCAGTGGTGAATCCATGGATGGCGTTCCTCATTGGAATCATCAGCGCATGGATCTACTACGGGGCATCGAAGCTGCTGCTCAAGCTCAGGATTGACGACCCTCTCGACGCTTTCCCCATCCATGGAGCCTGCGGCTTCTGGGGACTTCTCGCTACGGGAATCTTCTGCACAGATGCAAATGTGCAGTATGCGGCCTATCCCAACGTCAACGACGCGTGTGGGCGGGGAGAACAGTTTGCTGTCCAGCTCATCGGCGGTCTTGTCATCGTTGCATGGGCCAGTGTGATGTCAGGCCTCACCTTTCTCGTCATGAAATTCGTTGTGGGGCTGCGTGTGAGCTCTGAGATCGAAGAAGCGGGTCTCGATATCTCAGAGCATGGAATCGGTGCCTACGCCAACGAGCTGACGAAAGTGTTTCCCTCCCCTGTGAGCGATGAGGTAACAAAGGTGCAAGTGTCCTATGAGTGAAGTGTGCGCCTCATGTAGTAGTTAACGCCAATCAGCTTTGAAATGTCTTAAAAGTGTAACTGATGAAGAAAACAATAAAGAAATTGATATGAAAATGCTTGCAAACTGTTGTTGTCATTTTTAAAACCTAGCTAGCCCAGCAAGGACATGAATGTTGAAACTAGGTTTAAGTTCTCGATTGACCGGAGCCTCCGACGACTTCCCGGCGCCGGGCCACAGGGCCAGTGCCGTGACTGAAACCGGGCCAGACAGCTAGAAAGTCTTAGGAAGGAGTCAACGAACTCAACTCTGCGAGCTGGAGAAGAAAGAGCGAGGGAGGGGAGCGACAAGAACTTTGAGGTAGAGAGAGGGGGAGACAACAGAGAGATGCGATGGTGCCCGCTGGTTGAGACCTTGTTCCTTGACGGTGCACATCCTTGGTTTCCTATTCGACGGAAAGAGTGCTGATGGTGATGGTAGAAGAGATGATAGTGAAGGAGTTCAAAGTCAATCCCGTCTACCGCAGATGGTTTACAGTCATGTCAGTGGTGATTGTGATTTCTAACTTGCCTCCCACTGATTCTCAAGCTTGCGGTCGCAAGGCTGGCGATCGGGGTTCTCGCTGCTCCTGCAGCAGCTCTGCCTCCCTTTGCGCAGCTATTGGCAGGTATGACGGGAAGTGGAAGGCAGACGTGACGCAGAGGAGAGGACTCGTTGCCGGCGAGAACTTGTTGATAGCAGTTGGTGTGCATGACCAGGGATCGACGTGTGGATCAAACAAGATGCTACTTGAGGCTCAGCTGCGCCAGGACATGCGCATGCTTGCGATCCAAGACTCTCTTCAGGACCCTGGCCCAACGCCCTCATGCGTACAGTGCGCCTCTTTCACGTGGACGGACACGACCTCAGGAGTCTATCATGCACTGATCTTGCTGTACAATGTGGAAGGAGAAGAGAGTTTGCAGCTGGAGTTCGCGTTCGACGACTTCGTTCACGTCGGGAACGCTTCATCATCTGCCTCGTTGACCATGGAGCATGTGGCGATGGAAGGAGGAAGCGTTCGGATGCACATCAACGTCAGGAGTGAAGTCAGAGATCGATTCTTGCTCACAGTCTTCTTCACAGACATGAGCTCTCTTGCGCAATGGACAGGAATGGCCATGATACAAGTGAAGGCAGTAGAGCAGTCTGAGATCATGCGCATCAGGGCACCAGCTGGGAGACACTTTCTGGTGCTGGCGACTCTTTGTCAGCTTTCCCTCCATCCTCTCATCGATGATCGGGAGTCGCTGGCTACTGCTTCCTGTGCTCGGGTCTGTTCCTTGGAGGAGAATGGAAGTGCGATAGACGACGTTGCTCATCACGCTCCGCCCGCAGCATTTCCAGCTCCTCATCCTGAAGACGTCTTGTGCAGCCTTCAGCTCTACGTGACGCCTCTACAGCCCCGAGCAGGATGGCCTTTCACAATGTCAGCTGTGGCGTTGGGCTTGGTCTCAGGCTGCAGGTACAAGGTTGTCACGTCGGTTCGGTTACGACAAAACAACAATGCGGCCTTCGAAGAGAGTAAAACAGTCAACGGCTCCAACATGCCAGCTACCCTCAACTTCTCCGTCGCTTCATGCTGGCCTGGCGACATAGTAGTGAGGGTGATGCTCTACGACGACAGCGCGATGCAGTCACAGGATTCTGTTCTCTCGATCATCTCCAGACATTTTCTCTCCGTTGCACCTTGTGAGGTTTCCTACGCCTGGTCCTCTTCGAAGCAACCTCTCTTCCTCGGGTCGATGCCCTACGGTCAATCGCCCTTGGCGGGTAATGTTCGCGTCAGTGAATGTCAGCAGGAGGAGGAGCTTAGCCTGACCCTGGCGACGTTTGCTACTCTCGAGACGGCATCTCAACTTATCAACTCAGCAGCTCAGTGGCACCAGGAAATGGCAGTTGCTTTCTATGCTAGAAGCGCATCAGAGCATGCTGACATCTTGGCGCTCGTCCAGCAACAGCTGGGGCCATGGTTCGAGAGAAGGAACAAGTCGCTTGAGGCGACTGTACTGACGTCCTGCCCTGACCCGAGGAGTAAAGATAAACCCCTCGACTGCCCTACCAACATGCTGCGTAAGATCGCTTGCTCAATTGCCAAGAGCAACATGGTCTTGAACGCCGACGTGGACATGCTGGCTTCGGACGAGCTCGCTGACCATATAAGGAAAGCTCGCGGGGATGGCTGGATGGGGAGGGGCGAGCTGTTGGTGATCCCGTCCTTCAGGTCGGCAGGCAGCTGGCCTCGCGCAGTGAAGACTCATTTCGATAGTCATCAACTGACGGTCAAACCTGCCGCCATCACCATGGAGGACCTCAAGGCTGCGCTGCTACGCTGTGAGCTGCTGCTCCCCCTGCTGGGCTGTGGCATGTGGTCCCCATCGACCAGATGGTCAGAGAACGCTGTCTTCCACGCCCCCACCGAGTACGGCAGGTGGATGGAGGCAGAGGAGGTATACGAGGTGGACTATCTGCTGGGTTACGAGCCTTCCTTTGTGGTGGATCGAAGGGCATGGGTAGGAGGTCAAGGAGCAGGTATGTATGACGACCGGTTCGAGCAAGGAGGGTGGGACAAGGCATCAGTCACCTTCGAGGCCGCGTACTTGGGCTACACCTTCAAGGTGCTTCCTAAGGGCTTCCTGGTTGGCTCTTCCCCCTCCTCAGCGCGGCAGACGTCGAAGGCTCTGTCGCTGCCCCTGCCTGCGAGCAAGGATACAGGCTCTGTGGCCGCGGACCCGCACGGGCAGTGGCTGATGGAAAGGATAGTGAACAACGTCTGGACTGACACGCAGCGGAAGGTAGCGATCAGGTCGTGTGTGGTGAAGGCCTTCAAGGACACAAACTGCGACGTTGAGCGCCTTCGGCTGGTCCCGAGCGAGGAGATGGAGCGAGTGGGAGGGGGTCACGAGCTGAAGGTCGAGCTCTTCGGGCTGCCGAGAAGCGTAGGGCTGCTCCTGTCGGTCTACAGGCCGACAAACAAGGTCGACAGAGAAGCTCTGGCGTTCCACCTCCTCCTGCCGCAAGATGAGCCGGAGGAGCCTCGCAGAGTCGTTATCACCCTGGGGAAGCTTGCTGCAGGGAGCCAAGTGCTTCGGATCGAGCTCAGGGACTTGCAAGCTAGCAAGCTGATGCAAAATCATGTTGGCGCGATCCTTGCAGCACAAGAGCACCGGTTTCTCCTCCATGCCTGACGGTGAGGCCCTACTCTCACTCTCACTCTCACTCTCACTCTCACTCTCACTCTCACTCTCACTCTCACTATCATGGCATGACTGACTAACTTGGACTCCTCACAGTTCCTGATCGAACTGTCTGTCTCAGTGGCGGCACGACTTCGATCGGACTCGTCAAGCTTGTCACCGTCACTGCACCGTCGTGCGCTTGATTGACTCAGTGAGTGGAATGCCAAAGTTTGGGGCGGCAGCCGTACTAGTACTTACACTGGCCAATGTAGTCATAACCAGTAACTGATATCAGTCAGTTAGCTGTCAGTGAAAGCGCAATCGTAACTCTACTGATGCACTGCCGGCTACATTCACTGTTATCATGGCGTACACGTGACGGAGTCCTACCATTGTCCTCGTACTGATTTTTAACTTAACTTTGAGTAAAGAGAGTGACCGGGTCGTTGACGGATAACGGTTAAGTGCAAGCGCGCCTCAGACACCTCCTCGTGGCAAGAGTCTTGAAATGCAAGAAGGGTAGCGCAGGATGTACCCCAGGAATCCTGAGAGTACCCCTCCTTTCCCCCCTTGGGCCTATGAATTAGTGACCCCCTACCCCTTGTCATCGACGCACTACCCTCTGTTTTCCGACCCTAAGATACCGCCCACCCACCTTACACCTGGTAAAAGCACCGGTACTCGTGACTCAGGTTGGCCTCGTCAACTCGCAGGTGCCACTTCATAATAAGCAGCAGTTTTCCGACCATGGGGGTGGACAGAATCTTGTTAAAATTTCGATTTTTATCTTATTATTTCAAATTAGCTCAAACAATTACTGGAAACAATCTTCAAATTTTGAACATGTTGAGTACCTACTAGCAATACGACCACCCCTGTTATCTCCTCGTCCTCGAAGTGTTAGCAGTGCTAATACAACCCACCCCCTGTATGGAAAGTTTACAAGTAGGGGTAGGATAACCATCAAGGGTGGTGGAAAATGTCAAAAGAGAAAAACATAGGGTAGGGTACGATTAAGGGTGGGTACACTCAAGACTAGAGCAGGGTTAAAAATAGGTCAAGCAAGGTGAAAATACGGTAGGGTGGTTGCAGGGGTGCTCATAAGAAGGGTGGGTGTCTTCGAAGGGGGGTGCTGATGATAGAGGGGTAGTTGTCATCTTCAATCTGTGAAACGCACATCAAACATGGGAGAACGCAGGAGAACAAGAGGCACCAGAGGAGGGAGGGAGAGAGCGATAGATGGAGATGAGGTGAGGGTGAGAGAGGAACGTCTGGGAAGTCATGGAGGAACAGTGATCGGATTGCGAAGGAGAGAGGGGGGGAGGCAGTTCCTTGTACCATAGAGCAGGAAGGATTGAAGGTAGAAATCCAGAAGCGCTCGTCGTGGGTGTGTTGCACAGAGTTCAGTGGTAATTGACGTGTTGTAGTCTCTCACATGTTTTCCAATGCAAGATTGAAATCATCATTCATTCACTGAATGATTTTTCCAAACAGATTTCTTGACCTTGTAAGTGCATTTGAAGCGTGGGAGGATCTGGGGCCGCAAGACTGAATGAGCAACCGGGCAACGATGAAACCTTTCAAAGAGGATGCTCTGAGCGTGCTTGACCAAGATCCTGGCTCAATACCCCATCACCTGATCAAACACCTCATGGAATTAGATGCCGCCAATCAACAAGGATTGGTCGCAGTCATTGCAAGAAAACTGGAACAAGCGATACAATATGTCAGTCTGCGATGATTCATTTCTGTCCATCCTGACGTGCTTTGAAGGGTGACAATATGTCTTCGGGGAACATGCGCACTTCACTGCCTTCTTTTGTCGGATCAAAACCTCCCATGACGATCTCGGCTTTCATTCAGAGGTGCTGATTCGGCCTTCCTCACTCACTCCATACCTCCCACTTTCCCTCGTTTCTCCTCCCGTATCCTCTCATCGCTGCCAGCAAAAGACTGATATGATTTTCTCGCACTCAGGATCGAGAGGTATAGCTCAGCGAGCCCGTGCTGCTACGCGATCTCTTTGATCTACTTGGAGCGGCTGAAACGGCGAGCTCCCGACATCTTTCTGAACAGTCACAACTGGCAGCGGTTGATCTTGGTGTCGATGATGCTGGCAACCAAGACCTTCGACGACAAGTATTACAGCAACAAAGTGTGGGGGAAGATTGGGGGGATCACCACTGCTGAGCTCAACAACCTAGAGTTAGAATTCTTGAACCTAATGGGATGGAGAATGCAGTTGAATCGAGATGAGTACGAGTGGTATGCGGAGGAACTGAGGGCCGATCCTCTCTTCAACTCTACGGCCCCTCTTTCGGACATGTTCGTTGCCTGCTCGATCTCCAGCCCTCATGTCAGGGTGAGGAAGGCAGCTGGAGAGGATGCGCAGCTGTATCAGGAAGGAAGCAGGTCAGCTCTACAGCAGGAGGAGAACTTCCTTTCTGCTCGTACGACTCCCAGCTCGAGTCTCAACAATCCCAAGCTCAACTCCAACGGCTCAGCTGTGGGCAAGCACAAGCAAGACATCTTCAAGGGCTCGACTGGCATGACGCGGGGAGAGGCTCGGAGGAAACTCGAAGGTCCAGGGGAAGTCACGCAGAGGACGTGAGAGGCATAGACGGATCAAAGATCCGTCATCTCAGATCTGATGCATCAGATCCGTTATTCTTTGACGCGTTTCCTCCACAGGGGTCTCTTTGTATATAAAAGCTGACAAGGTTTGACCCGCCCTCACCTCCCGCTCTGTCCTATCCTGATTCCTTTCTCCTGCGTCAACCCATACGACATCTGCAGCTCAGTCAGTCGCCTCGTCCTCACCACAAGCGGGTCATCACGAAGGAGAAGAAGTCTTGCGAGCTTGGACTGTCGAATGGTTGGTCATGAAGGATGACCTGCAAGCCTTTTGTCACACATCTTCCCCTCTTTCGCCTTCGCTTCCTCTCCCCCTCCTACCCGCCCACCGCCTCCTCCTCGTCCTCCTCCTCATCTCCCTCTCCCTGGCCATCTCCCTCCCCCTTCCCCTCTCTTCATGCAACTTGCTTATCTTAACATTCACCCTCTCCTTCATCATCCTCCCCTCATTCCTATTCTCCTCCGTCTCCACGTTACCAGGCGCGGATCGCGGGGAGCAAGGTCATCGGTGAGCATAAGCTCTCCTCGGCTGATCCTCTGCAGCTCTTGCTCGCTGCCATGACGTCACAAGCAGTCGGGAAGGGTAAAAAGTCACCGGCCGTTCCAGTACATCTGCCAGTCTTTCTCGACATGCAGCCTTCCAGCGGGTTAGCGAATCTTGCTGCCTCCCTTCCCACTCATGCTCCTTGTCTGCAGTCTAGACTCCATCCCTCCTCCCTCCTCCCTCCTCCCTCCTCCCTCCACCACACATCATACCCAGAGCGCTGGGCGACTCGCAACATGACATCTTCGAACTGCAAAGTCGCATGAGGAGGTGATTGCGAGGAGTTTAGATCACTTTGTCGTTCTTGAAGACAGGAACGAGACAAGGGTCTCCGGTCGGTTTGATCATACTCGCCTGTTATCAACGCTAAGCGCATGGCGAAAACGGAAGGAAGGAATGGAGGAGGAAGGAAATCGCAGAGCGAACTACAAGGAAGGAGGAAAAAGATAAAAGGGCAAGCAGACGGCAGAGCAGGATAAGGGGAGCAAGAGGAGGTGGGACGAGGTAGAGGGCAACTCACAGTCTGTACGTGATGAAACACTGGAACGTTGAGGACATCAGGATTGGCGTCGTACCACTCGAGACGAAGAAGGTAAGTAGAGTTGATGGAAGACAGCTGCAGGAGCAAGTTAGGGGCGCAAAATGAAATAGAGAAACAGGAGGAGAGAAGAGGAGCTGAGCAAGAAGAAGATGAAGGGAATGGCGTTGTTTTCACCATCGTTTTCTCGCCGAACACGTTGACTATTTCTGAGCACAAATGAGAATCAGCCAACCAGAGGGAGGAGATAGAAGGAAGGCGGGGAGGACGGAGGGAGGGAAGAAGTGAGCGAGACGGCGAAAGTTTGAGTTTCTCACAGTGACGTAAAGAGAGGGCTGAGGAGGAGGGCAGGGGAGAAGGAGGAGGGATAGGAGGGAGTTACCATGATCCTTCAGCTGCGTTAGACAGAGTCTGAGCTCTGGCTTGTAGTTCAAATCTCTACTAGCTGACTCCCTTCCCGATCCTCGAGGAAAAATCCCACCGAGAAAGTCCTGCAGAAGCTCAGCCCCTCAGGTACTCACTGTACTTCCTCCGCCCTTACCCCCCTCGCATCCTCCTCCTCCTCCTCCTCCTCCTCCTCCTCCTCCTCCTCCTCCTCCTCCTCCTCCCCGTCTCTTCTTACCCGCACTGGCGGAGGTTCGAGAGGACACTCCATCGACTTGCACTTGGACTGAACCTGCCATGCGCGTATGAACTCCTCGATCCTCACCTCCGTTCAAGTCTGAACCCCAATCCAGCTCAAAACCTTCCTCCCCTTCCCTCCCTCCCTCCCTCCCCTCCCTCTCTCACTCCCTCGACTCCTTCCCTGCCTCCCTCCCTCCCTCCGCACTCTTTCCTCACCAGCTCTATGAATTTCCCGACTGTGCATTCCTCGATATTGGCGACCGGCACCTGCTCCCCCTCAGCTCTCATCGCGACTTCCTCCCCCTACCTGCACGAGAGCTCCGCGCAGGCTCCCGCTCCTCCTCTCGCTCTTGGATCGGCTGGTGCCATTCTCCTCCTGCGATCGAGACTTGCCATCCCTCTGCCCGGCAACCCCATAGCCATCGGGCAGGAGCACCTGTAGAGTCCTGTGAGCCTCCCAGGAACGAGAAGGCAGACAAGCAAAGGAGGCAGGGAGAGAGCAGGAAGAGAGCAGGAAGCAGTAGAAAGGAGATATGAAGGAGAGTGGAGGAAGAAGCAGGAGAAAGAAGCACGAGGGAGGAAGCAGGGAGGAGGAAGGAAGGGAGGAAGAAGGGAGGGAGGAAGAAGGAAGGGAGGAGGAAGGGAGGGAGGAGGAAGGGAGGGAGGAGGAAGGGGGGGAGGGAGGATCATCTGATCAGACCGGGACTGAGGAAGGGAGTGAGGTCATCTCGCTCTTGTTGGCCATGACATGCCGAGGGATCTGCTCGCGCAGTCAGCAGCATAACGGGCATAACGGACGAGCTTCCAGCCCTCACCTCCATCTTCTCCGTGTCCATGAGTGCTGGCAGGCAGGAGCTCTTGAGGTAGACCAGCATGTACGCGCTGCTCTGCTCGTCATCCCCGTCAAAACGCGCGAGTTCAGACCTGCGGGACCGCATGCTCGCCATGGGCCGCCCCATGGAGTAGACGGAAGGGGTGTCGCCTCCGAAGTTGGCAGACATGGCGTCGTCTTGCGAGACAGGGCGAACCTGTAGGAGGGAACTAACTCAGCTTTCCTCCTCTTCGTGCTTCTTCTTTCCCAACCTCCTCTTTCCTCCCTTTCTCTTTCTCCCCCTCCTCCTTTTCTCGTCCTCCACCACCACCACTTCCCACTCTTGCTCCCGCTTGCCTGGTCATCGTCGAACTTATACCACTGCACTCCTCCCGCTTCTTTCCTCTCTCCTCCTTTTCTCCCCAGGTCCGGCCGGATGAAAGCGTAGTAGTGTCCTCCTTGCGAATAACCTGAAAGCTCGTCATACTTCATCGACTCCTTCCTATCGCTCCTTCCCAACCTCAATCCCCCTCACCACCGCCACCCCCAACTCTCCATGCCCTCCTTCTCGCTGAGCGCCATTCATCCTCCTCCTCCTCCTCCTCTCCGCTGTATCTCTTCCGCTTCACGCTCTTATTCTACCTGAGTGTACCACGACCGAGTGCAGGATGTAGTTAGCCGGTCCCGTGGGATCGACTGGTTCAGATTTGTCCATGAATTCTGCAAGCAAATGAGAAATAAGAACAAGACAGTGGAGAGGAAGGAGGGCAAGAGTTGGAAGGGAAGGTGGGAGGGAAGAGGGGGGGCAGCTGAGACGGGAGGAGGAGGAGGAGGAGGAGGAGGAGGAGGAGGAGGAGGAGGAGGAGGAGGAGGAGGAGGAGAAGCGGGTACCTGTAAGATCGAGCTCCTCCGGGAATTCAAAGCGGCTGTTGATTTTCTCCGCGAAGCCTAAAGTGGGAGAGAACTGAACTCGCTGCAGGTTGACGATGAGAATGGGGGGAGCCCTGAAGGGCCTCGTCATGTCGATTGTATTCCTGCGAGTCGACATCGCTCCTCCTGCCTCGTTCCTCCTCACAATCTCTTCCTTGTCTTGCCTTTCTTCCTTGCGTCTCCCTCCTGCACTTCCCAACCCGATGATTCTCTCTGCCGGCTCTTTCGTCCGCCTGCATCCTTGCTCTGACTTGCCTCCTCTCTCACTTCTCCTGCCTTGATCCTCTCCCCTTGTACCATCACCATCTCTCCTTCCCAGTTTCTTGCTCACCGCTTGAACAGCAAACTTCGCTCGATCTGTTGTATTCCGTATCCAACATTCTCGCTCTTCTCCATCTCAGCGATTTTGGCTTCAAGCTCATTTGCCTGCACAAGATATCAGCAAAGAGAGCAGAAGAGAAGGTTGGGGACAAGGCTGTGGTGAAGGAAGAACAGACACGGAAAGGGGGGGGCGGGGGGGGGGGGGAATCCGAGGAGGAGGAGGAGGAGGAGGAGGAGAGATAGAAGAGATCTTGCCTTCTCCGCGTCTCCTTTTTTCTTGGCTTTCTCTAGCTCGCCCTTCAGCTCCTGATAATCGGCACTGGAAGCAAAGTGACCAATTTCACTGAAAATCAAAACCGATCTTATCTTCAATTCTCATCATTATCACCATTATCATCTCGTGAACACAGCAAGAACAGGAGAAGCAAATGAAACAGGAGGAGGAGGAGGAGGAGGAGGAGGAGGAGGAGGAGGAGGAGGAGGAACCTTGTGTTGTATCCATCGATGATCTCCTTGCCTGTCATGCTCTGTCCCATCAATCAGATCAGCTTCATCTCTTTGATGCTCCTCACCTTGAGCGCTTCTGAGATGTTGTGACACTCACGAATGTGATGAATCATCAGCGGCTGACAAGATCATCGTCAACATCAGCGTCGGGTGTACAATCCTCCTCGTTGTGATCGCGATTGTCATCAGCAGGATTATCTTTGTCAGCGCCGTAACCTCTGTCACCGACTCCTCCTTGTAGTTCTTCTGCCCCTGCTCCTGCTCATGCCCCTGCTCCTGCCCCTGCTCCTGCTCCTGCTCATCCTCCTCTGATCTTACTCCATCTCCTCCTCCTCCTCCCCTCCTCCTCCTCCTCCTCTTGATTGGCTTTATGGGATTGCGGGCTAAATGTCTTTGATTTCATGTAAGTTAAACTCACTGTCCTACATGCACTTCTAATGGGTAAGCGTTGGTTGATTTAACCGCTGAATGAACTCCCCTTAGGTGAACCATGGAAAAAAACAACTATGACTTTTTGAAGGTCCTATGACCGGCAGCAACTGGAATCTGACC